CTTTTATATAAAAATATAGCTCTGACCAGTATTCACTTGTGAAAACAGATTCCCAGTCTGAAATAATATTATTTAGAAATCTGAAGTCTTTAAATACTTTTCTGAACAAAACATTTACTATCTCTAATGTATTAATTTTCTTTTTACACACAAGAAAACATGCAAGCTTTGTAAATTAATTTACAATAATCAGAATTATATTGTATAAATTTCTCTTCTCTTTACTTAAAGAAAGATCTGTTATAAAGTTTATAGATATTAAATATCAAAGACTATTAAATATTAGTAATAATGCAAGCAGTCTATATAGTTTGTATATTAGAGTCTTCTCTTGTTAGTGGGTTTAACATTTGTATATATACATCTGAATATCTTATCTTATTAATTACTAATTATATTTTTGCTGAAGTCAGACAAATATCTTTGCCACACTAAAGTAATTTACAAATAAATTATTATAGTAGACTTGTAGTAGTTTCTGTCTTAAAGTTAGATTACTAAAAATATAGATTTTGTTACTTTTTATTAAAAGATCTTATTTATCTATTTTTCACTCTGACTACTAAAATTCTGTCTTAATGAATCTTGCTTGTATAGAGAGATTATCTTTCTGTATCTTTAGCAGCAGATTTAACATGCTTATAGTTAATTTATTATAAAACTTTTCATCTTTTATTACTATATTTATATATATATAAGAAATTTAAAATCTTCTGTAATTTCTTTATTAAGTCTCTTCTGCATCTCTGTAAGGATTGTACATGTGGATCAGTGTGACAATAGATCTCTAGAAGAAATATACATGGAAAAAGAGTATGTGAGATAAAAGATCTGTATTCTGGCAACTATATACAACTTGTAAACAAGATTGCTACTGGCTCCCAGCAAGAGATTTATGCAGTGACAGTCTTTTATATATGCTTGTGAGCACATGACTTAGTATCTCACAAGAACACATGCAACTCCCAGCAGCTCACAAGCCAAGCTCTCTGGCTCTTGCAGGTGCTGTTTGTCTGTGTAAGGGGTTCGCAGCGAATCCTTACAATCTCTGGCTGGTGCTCTCTGAACTGACTTAACTATTTTGATGTTATTAGATCTTCTCTGCATCATTTCTACTTTACTGCTTTAAATAGCACAAGCAGTATGTACTTGAATATCTTTTTTATTAAAGAAAGTTTCTTCAAATAAGTTTCACTTTAGAACATCATTCATATAATATTATTTGAATATATATGTTGACAGACTAATGCTTTCTTTTAGTTTGATATAATCTGACCTTTGTGATAATATATCAGCTGAATTATACTTTTCAGAATAATAGAGAATTTCAAAATTATATGCTCTGAGAATCTCTATCTATCTTATATATTATTATTGTGCTATCTTGTTTATAAATTTTATAAATAAATAAAAATTTGCATAATCTGTAATAATCTCTACAGAATATTTTATTTCTTTTAAGTACTACTGCCAATAAACAAATACTTAAATAATGGCTAATATCTTCTTATTTGATGTATTATAGACTTGTTGGCTCTGGTCAAACTTGAATAATCAGTAGATAACTGAATGTCATCTGTTATCAAATAGCTCTAGTAATATTATACCTGCAGCATATTCTGAAGTATTTATTTTCAGATATATTCTACATTCTGAATTGTAGTGACAGATGACAGATTCTTCAGAGAAGACTACTTTTAATATATGAAATACTTCTCTAATAATAAATATCAGAAGAAATAATTTCTTCTTTTATTTATTTTCACTGTTTTTTAAGAAATTTGTCAACAGTGCTATAATAACTAAGTACTTTTATATAAATCTCTGGTAAAAGTTTGCAAAACCCAGAAATATCTGTAAGGATTCGCCGCGAACCCCTTACATGGATGAACAGCACCTGTGAAGGCCAGAGGCCTCAGCTTGCAAGCTGCTGGGAGTTGCATGTGTCCTCACAAGGCACTAAGTCACATGCTCACAAGCACACATAAAAGACTGTCACTGTGCAAATCTCTTGCTGGGAGCCAGTGGCAATCTTGCTTACAAGTTGTACATAGTTGCCAGAATACAGATCTTTTATCTTGTGTACTCTTTTTCATATATATTCCTCCTAGAGATTCATTGTCACACTGATCCATATGTATGATTCTCACATTTTGCCACTCTTCTTTGGTGACACCTGACAATGGTATCAACATGAAGAAGCTAACCCTCTGAAACTCATGAACCTGGGACACCAGCTGAAAACCTACCTGAAGAACAAACCCAAGTTCACAAAGAGACAACCAATCTTGACATCTCATCTCTCTCAACTGTCAATGAAACAAGCACTGCAAACTCAGAGAGAGAGTCTATCCCAACACCAAAAGATAAAATTCAATAGCTTCATGAGGAGACCAAGCTACTAAAGAAAATGGTGAAATGGCAAGAGAAGTTGAATGCTCTCCAGAACACTCAAAAGCACTCACAAAGTGAATCTCTTGATATGGCCACCTCCAACCCAATACCCACAAAGTGTCTGTTGATCTTGAGACCACCACAACACACAAAGCACTACCAGACTGGAATCTATACAGAATATTGCCAGTTCATTTCAGATATTGAATCCATTCACAACACAAGCAAACTGAATGATGAAGATACCCTTGCATATGTCTTTACAGAACTTGGTTATATTGAGAAAGACCTTTGAGAGGCCCACTGTGAAGGCAATCCATCAAAAAACAACTGGACTGGTCTTAAAGAATTTCTATGTGTGAGGCTAGGAGATCCAGCAAACCACACACAAAACTCTTGATGAGCAATCTTTGGCCTTCACAAAAGTTTGGATGAAACTGATTATGTCTATTGCCAATGATTTCTAGAGCTCACAATAGAGATTGGCAAAGAATTTGAAGATTCTGTGAAAATGAAGAAGAACCTGTTTATATGAGACTTGAATAAGCTCATGCAAACCAAACTGGATGAACAGCTGGAGATACCAGATGACATTAATGATATAGTAGCACTGACCACCTGGCTCTGACCAAGTATGTCAGTAGCCTATGCAAAGAATGCCTCACATGTGAAGTCTACCAATCTAGTTAGAAGTGCTTGTGAAGGTATGAAGACCAATGACTCAAGACTGTAAATGAATAAGAGAAGTTAACCCCAGAGACCTGCTCAGAAGATGGGGAAGGACCTTACCAAGAATTGTGAAGTCTTGAAAAAGAATGGGAGGTGCTTTGAGTGTGGTCAAAAGGGCCATCTCACAAAAGACTGTCTCAAGAAGAAGAAGAGTAGTGAATAAGAAGTTAGGGGGCTGCAAGTAGATAGAATCAATATAATGAAGTTGTTCAAGAACAGTCTCCTTGCTCTCCCCCCTATTGTCCTAGATGTGTGAAGCCCAACTGACAGGAGTATTATCTGGTCAGCACTAATAGATTCAGGCTGTCAATCTCTAGTGATCAGTTTGTGATTGGCTGTGAAGCTAGACCTAGAGGTGCACAAGATGCCTATAGAGATTGAAACTGCTATGGATCATGAGAATGTCATTCTTGTAGAAGAGATTGCAAATATATTCTTTGAAGCCTGTGACTCTCAGAAAAACTGGCAGTTGTTTCATGAACAAGTGATGGTTGTGAACATAAGAGATAAGATGCTAGTGAGTTTGAGCTGGCTGCAGTGATACAATCTCAAGATGTGTTTCAAGAAACTAAGGCTAGAGTTCCAAACTGTGTGTCATGACCTGCTTGTGAAGATTAAACTAGTTAATCTCTCAGAGCTTGTGGAAGAAGAAAAGCCCATCTATGTGATGACCCTCCACAAATCAGAACAGGTGGTGACAGCAGACCTAGACCTCCAGATACTGGAAGCCTACTGTGAACTTGTGGAAGTGTTTAGTGACAAGAGGGCTTAGGAGCTGCCACCACACTGTGAAGATGATTTGGCCATAGATCTTGAACCAGGGAAGCAGCCAGAATTTGGAAGAACATACAGACTTTTGCAAGCTGAGCAAGAGACTCTTTGTGAATATCTGAGCAGTGCTCTAATTCATGGGTTCATCTGGTCTTCCAAGTCATCTGCAGGAGCACCCATCCTGTTCACATCCAAGAAGAATAGTGAACTAAGAATGTGTGTGAACTATTGTGACCTGAATTCAAAAACAGTCAAGAATAGATATCCTCTACCACTGATTGAAGATGTGTTGTATAAGCTTGTGGGAGCTGCAATATTCACTCAGTTGGATATCAAGAATGCCTACTATAGACTGAGAATTTGTGAAGAGAATAAGTGGAAGACTGTATTTTGGACTCCACAGAGACTATTTGAGTACTTGATAGTGCTCTTTGGACTTGTGAATGCACCAGCAGCTTTTCAATCATATATTGTGAAGGCACTTAGTGAATATCTGAATGTGTTTGTGGTGGCCTACTGGAGCGGGGTATGATGGGATGCCTCGTCAAAGTAGGCGAGTTGGTTGATATGGTGAGAGCACAAGAAAGGTGAAAAATCACCACATAGTAAGGGTATGGTCGAGTAGTAAGTGTAGAGATAGATATGTTCTAACAGACGCCTAAGCTTGCAAGGAGTAATAGTACTAAAGAGCCCTGTACTAACACAGGCAGCTCTAATGAGAAACAGTAGCATATTTCATGAACAAGAAATCTTCATATTCTCTAACTAATAGCCAAACTGGTAGTAAGGAACAAGTGTGTAGAAAAGAGCAATTGTGTGTAAAGATAATAAGCAAGATGCAGGGGCTACAGGTGGTTTATATAGCTCAAGAATAGTAGCTTTGGAGTGGTTTGCACCTTGGACCAGAACAACCTTTATTCTAATGAGGTACTGGAATCCCCACTACATTTTCTCCTGGCCTTCAATGTTGGTGTCCCCTGACAACAAACAACATATAAAATAAAACAAAACCAATTTAGTAAAATAAGAGAATAATAAATAGTAATGAGCAGTCTGGTAAGGAAAAACATAGGAAATAAGAATAAGGAGAGTGATAGCAGCAATCCCTAATAGTGATCACCATGATCCTCTTCTTCCACCAAGTTCTTGGGAGGAGGAGAAGGCTGAACTGACACTGGGTCAATGTTGTTGTGCATGCAATGCCAATAGGATTTATTACCAAAAGCTTTCTTTTTAATTTGGTAAGTCTTGACAATAGTATCCAGAGCAATTTGTGTGGCCTTTAGGCACCAGTTATTAATGAAGTCCTGAGTCTTTTTGTCATCAGGGCTAAAGAGAATATCAAGTTCCTTAATTACCATGGGGTTGTCCCATCTAATTTGTTCTACCAGGGCATCCAATATAGCTCCTAAGCCTTGTAATTGAATAGCAGTAGGGAATTGATATGGAACCAATGTGTAATGATTTGAATGGCCAGATGGAGATGAAGGCCCTGGAACTAGATCTCTATATGCAGTGGAGAGCTGGAACCATGTACCAGCTTCATTAACTTCTAGATGTTCATGGTCCTCTTGGATTGCCACATACCAGGGTAGCATAGTGTGTTGGACCTTTTTGCATGGACTATGGGCTTCATGGGGTAGCAGAGGGCTTGTAATTTGGACATTGCCAGGTTTGCAAATGATATCAGTTCATCTAATACCAAATTTTCTTTTGTTGTCTTTGGTATACATTGTATCTTTAATGCAGTGAACATAGCCATCAGTAGATAAGTCTTGTTCTTCAACTAGTCCCCACCAATTCTCTAGATGATTATGCATTCCTGGCAAGATTTCTGTACAGTCACTGGGCTCTTCTGCAGTTAAGGTCAAGGATTCTTGTATTATATTAATGCCCCTTCCAGTAGTAATAGCATCTGGAACATTAACATTGATATGGTGAAACCCAGTTTTATCCCCTGGCTTAGCATACTTGGTGTAGTATGGATAGAAGATTAATTTCCAAGTGTGGTTGGGTCTTGTTAGTATGTACTATAGGTAGTATGCAGGGTCCTGGCGCATAAGTTGTTGGCTGATACTGTAATACATTGTTCTCAACTATCTGTAATTATTGTGACCTCCCATCATTTGCTGATGATGGTAGTACATGTTGTATTTGCTGTTGACCTGGGTGAGTACTGTGGTGGTGGTGCCTTGTAATTTATTGTTCCACCAGTGCATTAGCTGGAGAATGATAACAGATTCAGTTGTTTCCCATTCCTTCTGAAGATTGCTGGTGGTGAACTTGTTAACTTCAGTTATTCACATGTATTGATTGAAGTTGAATGTTCTCATGTTTGTGACCAGAGAGATAATTGGCTGATGTTTGAATTTGTAAATGCCTAAAGCATCTTCAGCTCTAGCTGGTCTATTTGCCAAATGGAACCAGAGGTAGGTGCTGTCATTGATCTTGACTGAGCCAATGTTGTGATGATTTCTATGGATGTAAGCCAAACAGTTGAGAAGCTCCTCCCTATTAAGTGTGTGAGTCTGTAAACCAAGTTTTGAAGCTATTAGTTTAGCATGGTCATAGCACAGATAGATGTCAGCTTTCTTATTGCTAAAGGCCTTTCCTAACTGCTTCAGGATGCAAATAAGCTCCAACTCTGAATGTGTTTTAGTACTCTTTATCTTTTGGAGAAGCTGCTGTTTGAAATCATGACAATGGCAAGTACCAGAGTGTACTGCTATGACAGATTCTTCTTGTTCATGTTGGGGTATTTCCTTGTCACTTTCAGAAGGAATAACAGACTCATCTTCATTGCCTAGGCCTTGGAGGGTTTGGTGTGCTGACATAGCTGTGATTCTTTCACTGTGGTGCTTTGGAGCTTCTGATTGGCTGGGTGGATTGGCCAGCGCGCTGGTGAATCCAAATGGCGGCTGTGATTGGCCAGTTTCCAATCCATGTGATCTAATTGACATTGTACTATGTATAGAGGCTCCCAATACATTGTGGCTATGTGGCATTGACATCCCATCCATTGGAACATCTCTTGATGATCTTGGTGACTGTAGTCCTTCTAGTAGATCTCAGGAGCTGCTTGCAGTGGGAGGGCTTCTAGTGATATTCTGAATTGAATGTTGGGAGCTAGATGACTGTGGAAGAGCCAATAGCTGTAGAAGATCATAGTTCCCAATAGTAAGTTCTTGTTGGTGTAGGGCATCTCTTGAAGAAAGTTTGCAAGTGTAATTGACTTCTTTATCAGCTGTAGTATAATTGTCTGGCAATATAGCTAAGCTCTGGTGATGTCCAGCTTCTGTAGCATCTAGTCTTTGGAGCACTGTGCTGTTAATATTGTTGGTGAACTTATCTTAATTCTTGTAGACATTTAGAGTATGGTGAAGCTTTTGTGCAGCCTACAGGCTCTCTACTTTTGGCCATATGGCATCAATCCTGTCTATCCCCCATGTAGTGACAAGCCTATTCTTGATCTTTTGCATATCAATGTGATGTTGTTTGACATCCAGGGTAACCTTTCAAGCATCATGGAAATTGGCTTCAAAATTGGCATGCATAACATGTTGCCAAGCTCTGGATCTTTCAACATATCAATAGAAATAGGCCACTAAGTCAGTGACTACATTAGTCACTCACATAAGTGTGTTCATCAGCTCAACTTGTAGACCATATTGATGGTGTGGAGCTTGGTTATCAATGTATTCCATAGCTGCTGTTAGGTTATTGAAGAAATGGCCATCCAAGTTGACTCCACTGTCTCTGGTAACAACCAGGCCTTGGTTTTTGGTTGCTGGTGCTAAAGGAGGCAGGTTGCTTTGTCCAGCCATTTTTGAAGAATATCAGAGATCAAAAAATTTGCAAATGTCAGAATAACAGAATAGAAGGAAATGTTGAATCTGTAAAAAGAATCAAGCTTGAATGTAAAAGAAAGTAAAAGCTCCAGCAAAGAAAAATTAATCTTTAAATATCTCCAGAAAAAGTGAATGCTAAGCAAATAACAAAGAAAGAGAAACTTCCTGAAAGAGCAAGCAAAAACTTCACTTTGCAGGCAAATAAAAGAAACTTCCTGAATAAGCAAGCAAAAAACTTCACTTTTGCAAACAAAACACAACAAATTAAACATCTTGTGAAGGTATAACAACAGCAAAGCTCCAGTTATCTGATATAACAGTTGCAAATTGTGTTTGCTCCATTTCTTCTTGATCATTTTCATTTTCACTCTGATTCAAGAAGCTAACATCCAAGAAACTGCTAGAGGGAATGTTAGGTTGACTTCTGGTGACATATTTTTGAGAGATGTTCTCCATTTCTACATCAGAATCTGCTGGGCTATCATTGAATGGCTCCATTCCAGGTTTCATAAGATACTTCTTTAATCTGTTTCCTGCAATAGATTCTTTGAGTTCAGTGCTGTCTAACTCTTCAAGATGATAGGCACCTAGTTCTTAATTAGCAGACTTAACCCTATAGAATCCTAGCCATTGAAAGTGCAGGGTGTTATTTCTAGACATATTCTATTCTTCTTTGGTATTGTGAAGCAAGACAAGGTCTCCAGGTAGAAGAGAGTTGATCTGAATATTATGGGTATCATCAAAGTATTTCTTATTTCTAGTGTGCATTCAGAGCTGATGATGAGCTGCTTCCAGAACATCCTTATCTTGTCTTTTGATTTGCTGTGCTTGCATCAGAAGCAAGTCTTCAGTTATTTGAATCTTTTGCCAGGGAATTGTTTGTCAAGTAGAAATCTTGAGTTCAATTGAAAGAACTGTCTCCTGGCCCATTAGCAATCTATAAGGGGAGACACCAGTACTAGCCTTAGTTGTCATTTGATCTGCCATCAGAATTGCAGGAAGATGTTTAATCCAATTTCTTCCAGTGCCATTGGTAGCTTTAGCTAGCCCATCAGCCAAAGGCTTATGGCCAACTTCCACCATACCATTTGCAGGAGGATTATAGAGTGAAATAACAATGCATTTAATGTTGAATTTCTTCAGTAAGATCTCCACAATGTTCTTATTTTCTGATCCTCCATCCATAACAAATTTGGCAGGCAGGCCCCATCAACAGATGATATTCTCATAAAGAAATTTGGCCACAGCTTCAGCTGTTGTCTTTTTCAAGACTTTAGCTTCCATCCATCCAGTGAAGTCACATCTGGCAACAACCAAATAATTTTGTCCTTGACAGAAAGGCATGTGCTTGATATCCACCCCAACTTTCTCCCAACAGATAGGGGCCCAGGTAGAATGAAGCTCTTCACTCAATCTTTGTGAATCTCTTTGTTGACATTGAGAACAGTGCTTTACATAAGCAGACACATCTTTATACATCTCTGACCACCAGTATTGAGCTTGTAGGGCAGAGTATGTTCCCTCTTGCTCTTTATGGCCAAATTCATCATGCATCATGTGTAAAATTTGTTTGTGCTGATCTTTGTTGTCCACAACACATCTTAGAGGCACACCAGATCCTGCTTGCCTAAATAGCTGATTGGCCTCCACCACATATTTAATTGCTTTTCTTCAGAATCTCATGTACTCTTTTCCTTCCATGTCCAATGGTTTTGATAGGGTGGTTAGGTATTGTGCAATTTTCTCCAATTCTTCTGAATATGTGGAGTCCAGTATTCTAAGGTCTTCACTATCAAGAGCTCAGCCAGCTAAAACTCTTATAGGATTCATAAAGGCAAACAGATCTTCATCTTCTTCAGATTTAGACTGTTCCCCAATACCTAGTCCTCAGTAAGATAGTCTGTCAGCAGCTGTGTGTTTTGTCCCAGGAACATGTTTAACAGTAAAGTCAAAGAGGTGTATTCAAGCTATCCAATTGGTAACCAAAGCTTCTGAAATATCTGTAGCAGTCCTATTAAGTTGGGTGACAAGAGTTTTTGCATCAATTTCCAAGGTAAAGGGCACTCCATAGATATGGTGTTGGAATTTCTTGAAGGCTTTCAAAACAGCTCTGCATTCTTGTTTGCCAGCATCATATGTTTTCTCTGAATCACTCCATACTCTGGATTTGTATTGTGTGGGATGTTGAGCTTCTTATTGCTTCTGAATAATACATTCTCCCCATTCTAATCCACTGGCATCAACAGCCACAGTGATAAGCAAAGGATCCTGTTTGTAATTGATTGGAAGAATGATAGGGAATGAATATAACTTTTCTTTCAAAAGCATAAAGACATCATTTTGCTCTTCAGTCCATGTCCATGTAACATTTTGTTGAAGCAGATAATGTAAAGGTTTGGTTATCCAACTATAATGCTCTATAAGTATTCAGAAATATCTAGCAAGCCCTAGAAATCCTCATAATTCTGTAATGCTTGTAGAAGTAGGCCAATTCACAATTTTAGCCACCTTGGCTTCCTCAGGTCATTGTTCATTATAGTCACAGACCCATCCAATGACATTGACTCCAGACATGCAGAATTGAGATTTGGTGCTGGAGATCCTGGCCCCAGAGATTTTGACAAGCCATAGAATGTAGTCCAGGTTCTGCAGATAATCATAAACAAATCTTCTTATTCCTGAAAGGACTTCAGTTTCATTTTTGACATATGATTCTTTTACCCCAAGATCATCCATAAAGGCTCAAGCAA